TTCTTCACTTTCTGCCATTAGGGTGGTATCATCTGCATATCTGAGGTTGTTGATGTTTCTCCCTGCAATCTTTATTCTTGGGGTAGTACAAAAAGCACTGCTCCCTTTCCTGTGTTTAATCAAATCATGCCTATAGAAGAGAATTATCTGTAGCTCAGGGTTGAACTGTAGAGTCCTTGGGGCTTTCTGAGCTGGCTGTTTTCTTGCAGATGTTTCATTACTGGCTAGATAACATCTTCCTAGCCAGGTAATGAAATGTCTGCAAGAAAACAACTAAGCTCAGAGAGCCCCAAGGACTCTACAATTCATGCCTATTATGTAAGCATCCCCATCATGAAATTCAGCAGAGTTATGAGTGCAGCATTTTCAGTAATACGACGGATAACTTCTGGTTCGCTTAGAACTTTAGCATGATCAGCTCAGAGTATAACATTTCAACTGTTTCTTGTCCTTAGCACGGTTCAGAAGCGTGAAATGGTGAATCCAGCCAGTATGAAACAGGCTTTGATTGCCTCAGCACGGCGGCTTCCCGGGGTCAACATGTTTGAACAAGGGCATGGCAAACTCGATCTTCTCAGAGCCTATCAGATTCTCAACAGTTATAAGCCGCAGGCCAGGTGAGCGTCTTTCAAAGCAAACAGCTCAAACCAGACCTTTCCATTGAAAAATATCTTCTGCCAAGAAGCTAGCCGCAAATCCTGTTTTTCTTTTTTTATATCTTTCAACTATTAGAAAGAGAGGCTCTTTATTTATTTCCTAATGCTGAAGGCAGATATGTCTTGGAAATGATAATGAAGAATGTACAAATGTTTCTAAAAAGATTGCATGACTGAAAGCAAAGATCTAGTGTATTGGTAGAGTCTTTAAGCTCTTTGACTACAATAATGATGATAAAGTCAACATGGAGAAACACTGAATGAAATGATTACGAAGTACTGACATAATTTCGATATTAATTTGATAAATTTTATATATATATATATAAATTCGATATATAAATAATGTTGTCCACTGTAAATCAGAGATGGCCAGTATCGCTAGTATTGGCAGACGGTGGTGAAGAACTGGAGGTGGTTTTAGTAGGACTCTAGCATGGTTCAGATTCAGGAACAAAAAGGTGCTTTAGAGCATGTCACGTAGCACCTGTTGGCAACTCCTTCACTACAGTACTGTCTCAACTGGGACTGTATGACTGCCTTCTGCAGCTGCCACACCACTCTGGAAGAAGACATATTTTGTTTGAAGACTGACCAAGAGGTGCTCTGTGGGTGCTCTCTCATGTTCTGAAGCACTTCATGGCCCTAATATGTACTGTCCATGTTTTTCAGTCAGCTTAGCCTGCTGTTTTTAATGCTCCTCCGTAGTTGTAAATCAGAGTTCTGCTGCTGTGCAATTGGTTGGCCACTGGGAGAATAGACTGTTGGACCAGATGGACCAGTGGGCTGATCCAGCAGGGCACTGCTTAAGTTTTTACACTCCCGCCTTTCTTCTGTGTTGGCTATGGATCTAGAAGGCAGCTGGTTGGGAAAGACTGGTTTCCAAGTGTTATGTTTGTGGGCATGGCGTATTTTAGTTTTTATGTCCCTTATGTATTGTTTGGCATCAGCTGGAATAAAAAATTGCCCCAACATACTTCTAAATAAATAGCAGGCCATTATCTCACTTTCACAACTCAAAAGTCATTTTCCCCTTGAAAATGAAAACATGACTCAATTCTTATCTTAGGAGAATATATAACATGGTGGTTTATCACCTATCAGATGGCTAGCTGAGTTCTAAACATTCTCTAGGTTTTGTTCCATCTGAAATGCCTTTCTACATTTGTTCCAACTCATAAAGAGCATAGTTGATTTTGCTTTATATATTTTCACTTTAAAGCCCAAGGTTCATTGGAAAGTGAAAAAAAAACCAAGTGTTTTATGTACATTTACTTCTTGTAATGTGTTTATGTGTGCACATTGTATTTTTCTTGACCTTTTAGTTTGAGTCCAAGCTACATTGACTTGACAGAATGCCCTTACATGTGGCCGTATTGCTCCCAGCCCATCTACTACGGAGGCATGCCCACAATTGTCAATGTCACCATCTTGAATGGAATGGGAGTCACTGGAAGGATTGTAGACAAGGTAGGAGCTGGGGAAACGGAGCCTTAGCCAGGCTAAATGACCACTCCTGTTTCTTCCAGGAGTCATGATGTTTGAGGCAATTTAGGGTGACTCTAACTATGCAAACTCAAAAGAGAAGTCAGACCCATTGATCCAAGAGATTTAAGGTCATTCACCTGTATTCACCTCTTTTCGTGTTAGATCAGAAGCATGAATATGAATCTGGGTTTCGCGCCATGTCATTTGCTAGAACAATTTTTAGTGGAGCAGATGAACTCTACAATGTCATTCGTTTTTGTTTTAATGCACTGCAGTCTTTCTAAAGACTTTTGGGACAGGGAAGCCCTTTGACCAGTTCTGATGCAATTGTGACCCTGTGGTGGAAAATGCTGTGTTACAGTCCTTGATCAAATCATTCAGGTTGATCTTTGCCTGAGGCTTAACCTTAAAAGGGCAATTAATGGATCTGGAGTTTCCAACCCTTATTATTTATAATTCTATAATTCTATAACATGTTAATATTTATTATTGTGGTTGTTTTGATGTTGTTTAGTTGTCGTTGTTGTTGTTATTTTGGCACACCAGCTTGGTTAACCCACCAAGGAAGGATAAGCCTTGAAAATATGTTTCTGAGATACCTTGAGTGCTGTTCAGAAATCGAGGGCTTGATGAGGCATGTGTGTTGCCTTGTGAACCAAAAATCAGAATGACTCCCTTTACAATGGAATGCATTCACGCAAAAGAAAGGAAGGAAGAAGCTGTCTTCTAGAGCTTTTGCTGAAAAGGTTCATTTTTGAAGATGGGTTGAAAGCTTCAGCTACTTCAAAAAGGAGTTTAGACTGGTCAAGCAGGTCACGCCAGTACTTTCACAAGCTGGGCTGGCTTGCAGTCATCCTGACTAGAGCCACCCTTCCTGCCCTTCCAGGTGAAGTTAGGGTGATAACTATAAAAGAGAAGAATTCCACTTTAAAGAGTCTTATCTGAGGCCTACATTATTATCTTTTCAGTGACAGATGAAATCATTTCTCAACCCAGGCTGTCTAGATTTTAACTGAAACATTTGAAGAACCTTTAATAGGTTTGAAGTGGTGTTTGGAATAGCTACAGGTAGTCCTCAGCTTACAACCATTTGTCCAGTGACTGTTCAGAGTTATGGTGGTGCTGAAAAAATGGACGTACGACCGGTTCCTTAAAGTTCTGGCCATTGCAGCACGCCCCATGGTCACGTGATCACAATCTGGGTGCTCGGGTGCCTGGCTCGTGATTACAATGCCACAGGGAGCCACAGTCACATAATCCTGTTTGCAACCCTCCCTGGTGCCTTCCCACAAGCAAAGTCAGTGGGGAAGCTGGCAGGAGGTTGCAAGTCACTCTGGTAAGTGGCTCCCGTTTTTTCCTCCTGCCCGCAGCACACACACCCTGTTCATGCGCAGCAGCCTCCACTGGCCCTCCCAGGCCCTCCCCCGCATCCCCCCCCCCCCGTGGGCCCCCCTGCCTCCTTCCCGGGGCCCCCCGCCACTCCCCGCTTAACGACCAACGCGTCTTGGACTTACGACAGCAACTGGGACTGCCAGGATTGTTGTCTCTAAGCGATGTGTTCTTGTGGCGCCCTGCGTTTTGACCCCATCGCTTAGCGACAACAATCCTGGCAGTCCCAGTTGCTGTCGTAATTCCAAGACGCGTTGGTCGTTAAGCGGGGAGTGGCGGGGGGCCCCGGGAAGGAGGCAGGGGGGCCCACGGGGGGGGGGGGGGGGGGGGGGGGG